TTTAGTCTGCCATTGGACCGTTTTAGTCTGCCATTGAACTGCCATTGGACCGTTTTAGTCTGCCATTGAACCGTTTTATTCTGACACTGAATGCCTGCTGACACCTCACTCACTAATCTTAAACTAAATCATGAACGCTTACCGAGGAATCTTGGGTTTCTGTCCACGACCTCGCTCATCTCCCCGACCAGCTCGATGCTCGTATAACGAACTGCCATATGGACGGTTTCCGGAAGTAAAACCACCTGCTGCAACACCTCCGACAGCGTTGGGTTGTTGTCTCTGAAAGATAAACAAAAACAGAGTCAGTCTGAACTTTAAACTTTTTCATGACATGTATTCCTGACTGATTCAGAATAATCATACAGAAACAGAACACACCAGGAGGTTTAGGGTTAAAAAATAAACTGATATCCTTAACGTTCTTTCTCCTGAAGGAGAAAAAAAAAAACTTTGATTCTAAAAAGAATCTTCAGATACTCACGGATCTACACTTTTTGCGATTGCAGCCATGATGAATAGAACAGCTTCCGTCACCTCCCAGGAAGGGTTTCCTTCTTTTAACGTAGAATATAACTGAGAACAAACAGAACATCTATTAAAGTAGAATATGAACGAGAACAAACAGAACATCTTTTAAAGTAGAATATGAACGAGAACAAACAGAACATCTTTTAAAGTAGAATATGAACGAGAACAAACAGAACATCTATTAAAGTACAATATGAAAGAGAACAAACAGAACATCTTTTAAAGTAGAATATTTGACTGAAAATAAAGAGTAGAGAACATTTAAAAATAGAATCAATCGACCTGTTCACCGAATAGAAAGCAAGCCTTTTGTTGTAGATTCAAACTTTACCTGAGAGAAACACTCCATGGATCCAACAAGAAAAATGACGTCTTTAACGAGGTCAGAGACTCTCATCCTAAACTCCCCAAAATCATCTGTGTCCTCTGGGATTCCGTCCTGTTGGGTCACAACAATTAGATAGTTGACATTTTAACTACAACAGAACTAAAACCAACAGAACTTGAACAGTATGTGTGAGAGAATTGTGTGAGTTGTCTTGATTTTATATCAAAGTATGCGACTAATATCTGACTAATAAAGTTCTGGCTGAGGATTTTATCAGTTTCAAATGGTTCTGTGTAGACCTGATCAGGTGACTTACGTGGTCTGGATCGAGTTGACAGTGTCGTGCCAAACAGTGCAGAAGTCTCTGGATGTACGGTCTGAAGATGGTGTGAAGCGCTGCATCATTTATTTTATACAGATGTTCTCCAAGACGGTACCAGAAGTTAAAGGAGATCTCCACGACCTGGATCAGAACAAATACAAGACAACAGGGAGACCAGGAAAGAGGATTAGTATTATAAATTCATGGAGATCAAACGGAAGGGTTTATTTTCATACCTTGTACCTTGTATTGTTGTACCTCATACTGCAGGTGTTGTAGTGTTTAATGTACTTGTGTTGTGGTTATTTTCATACATTGTACTGAGGGTGTTGTGGTTATTTTTGTACCTTGTACCGAGTGTGCTGTAGTGTTAATGTACTTGTGTTGTGGTTATTTTTGTACCTCATATTGCGGGTGTCCTGCACAGATCAGCAGCAGCTCCAGTGTCCTCAGGTCTCCCATACCCTGGCCTGGACTCCTGACTGTCGTCTCTAAAAATGTCTCGCAGAGTTCGGTAAAGATCCTGCAGTAGTTCAGCACTCTGAGGGCAGAAATCAAACGGAAATGAGGCTGACACACTGATTTATTTACCACGTATCTGATCAGTATAATTACTTTCATTACATATTTTTTTATCTTAAAAAGTAATGCTATTCCATTTTATTTTTGTATTATATTTAATCGACTGACATTATTGACACCTCCTGAATTATTGAAATCCAACTACCTAAAGCACTTTTTTATAAATAAAGTGCTGTATAAATAATATTTATTATTATTAGCGCTATGTCGTCAGCGTAACGCTGCTGCCTCTATGAATTACAGAAATCCCCCTGGCAGAGATCAATCTACTTAGGGATGAATAATGAGAATGAATTTAGAAGGTGCTCACTTGTCGAGGTCTTCTCGAGCCACGGCCATGTGATACGCCGTCTCCAGCGTGAGGACGCCCTGTAAGAGCTGTAGAGCCAACCCCATGTTGGTCTCTACGTTTTCTATTGCGTAGAGGGACGAGCACACGCAGTCCGACGCCGCCTCATGGAGGTTGGTGGAGGTTTCATCCCTCTGCTGTGGGAAACATAAGGCCGAACACTGTTGTAGCGTATGCGACTGTTTTCATACATCCTTTTCAGATGATGCACGATGATCCTGTAAAAACAGGAAGCAGGCGTCCCTGTAAACCTGTTTAGACGAGTATAAACCTCACCAGGACTTGGAAGAGGACCATGAGCAGCTGGTTGCTGGCCATGAAGTTACTGTCGAGGACCCCCAGGTTGAACCAGCTACCCAAACAGCGAAAGACCTTGATGAGCATCTTCTCGTCGCTACCCGCCTTCTCCACACACGACGTCTTAAATAAAGTAAAAACAAAAGAGTGAGGAGGATTTCTGCGTTTCAGTCTGAGATGGGGGTCGTCTTAATAATAAACAATAAACATTAAGTCATTTAACATCAAATGTTCACGACTGTGAAAATCAGAAAGTTAAACAGCTCGAAATAAGGTAAACGAACCAGCAAAGTGACGACAGTGCTGGAGTAATACGCCAGATCCTCGATGATTTCCGTCCTTCGGTTGGCTCCGATTCGCAGAGATCGACTATGAACTTCCTCCGGCAGCACGGTGAGGATCTCTATGAGGAAGGACATCGAGCTGATGTCATTGTTGTACCTGAGAGGGGGCGGAGAAATGGACAGGTGAGTCACAGAGGACAACAGCATTGTAGGTGTGAAAGTTACAGGCAGACGTCCCGCAGGTGTGAAAGTCACAGGCAGACGTCCCGCAGGTGTGAAAGTCACAGGCAGACGTCCCGCAGGTGTGAAAGTTACAGGCAGACGTCCCGCAGGTGTGAAAGTTACAGGCAGACGTCCCGCAGGTGTGAAAGTTACAGGCAAACGTCCCGCAGGTGTGAAAGTTACAGCACTGCAGGTGTGAAAGACGTCTTTCACCATCAAAGATATTTTATCTGTAAAACGTTCCGTCTATAATGTATTGAACATTTAAGTGTGTTTTTGGACTCAAACAAACTCAAATGTAACGTAATCACTGACTGATCCGTTGGCCATATTTGTAGTTCCTGTCTACTGTCAACATGTCGTTTGTTTAAAAAGTTTCAGCTGTGTGGTTGTGGGAAGTCTTACTTTTCTATGAGCGTGTGAACACATCCTTTCCACGAGGCCATCTGAAGAGCGAGATCTGCGATGGCTAAAGCCAGCTGAGGAAAAAGAGATTAACAAAAACAAGATCAGTAAAGTGGTTCAAGAGAATAAACTAGAAACACTTTAATTTACTGGATAAATACAAACAGACTTCCTCTTTTGTTCTGTTCACGTGTGACGAAGCTCAGCTATATTAACTTTAACGGCTTCCTTCTTGTTTTGATTCTGTTGTAAGAGTTCGGAGTTCCTCCACACTTTGGAAACCAAAAGCTGATGCAAGCTATAGGTCAAAAAAGTTTTAGTTTAGCTGTAAGGTTGTCAGCTTTGTATGAAGTTAAGTTTAGTCTAGTTTAGCTGTAAGGTTGTCAGCTTTGTATGAAGTTAAGTTTAGTCTAGTTTAGCTTATCTTAGCTAGTTGAGAAGCTATCGGTGAGTTAAAGCCGAGAACGTGGCGGTTCAGTGTTTGTACTGTTTATTTTTTGGGGAATAAATGCTTCAACTCCTCAATACTCTCGAGGAGACCCAAGTTAAGTTCTATTGTCTTGCTTGTCAGCCAGCTGATGATTTAAGTGAAGGGGTTAAACCTTAAATGTAGCGACAACTCTGGTGGACTCAAGGTGGACCAGCTATACTCCTGAGTTTAACTAAGCTGTATTCTGAATGTTTCTTTTAACTGTTAAAATAATAGCATGGTTAAACTATGTAAACTACTTTGTATCACAAAAACACAAAGTAAAATCCTAAAATTTCAACAACAGCATCATGTTGTATATATTGATGTATAATAATCAGTTTTTAAAGCTCGTGTTAGGAAGTTAAACAGCTCATAATTCATCTCTAATATCTATTTTATATTCATGTGAAAACATCTCCTTCAAACTACTGGATTTATTCTAGTTTATCACCAAAACTACATTTTACAGATGACATGTGAACACATCATGATAAAGTTATAATGTACATTCAGCCAGTACTCATGTTCACTGAGCAGAGCCTGAAGGCATCATCATGTAACTCAATTAAAGCCCCTTTAACGTTAGCGGCTAGCTATTTAACCACTAACGTTAACTCGCTCTCCTTCATCTGGATTCTTTGTTAAATTCAATCTGTTGATTTTACAGCCTGTTGTCTTTCGGTGAAGTGTTTGAAATGTTATTTCTGTGATGAAAATGCAGGTGAGATGCGTTACCTGTGTGACGATGATGGGCGACAGGTCTTTGAGGTTCTGGATGTGGGTCAGTAGCGATTCTCGCAGTGCATTGTGGGTCTCAGGTGGAAGCTCGTAGAAGGATGTCTGGATCTTCATCTTCATCGTCTGAGCAGCAAAATAACACGACTCGACGTCCTGCTTGAGCTGCAGAAGCTGATCCGAGATCTCCCACGCGTACATCTGTAGGACAGGAAGTGATGTCATTACATTATCGTTTATTATTAATATTAATATTATTTATTCTATTATTTCAGTTATCTGCAGACCGGGTCGACCAGGTAGACTAAAAACAGATCTGTGACGTCTTAAAACGTCACAGATAAGAAAGATAAGAATAATAATGAACATTATGACCCCTCAGGTTGGAAACATTATGTTATTGGTGTTCTTCTTCTTCTGTGGTTTCTGTTGGTGGAATACAACACACTGCTGATCTCAGACTCCAAACCTGGTCGGACCACCAGGCCTCAAACCTGGACTCTGGTCCTGGTTTGGATTCTGTCCTCAAAACCTCCGAAACATAAAGCAACATCGGTGTTTCCAGCAGACCTGAGGGAGTCCCAACAGGTCTATGAGGAGTCCTGATCTGAAGACCAAGACTCAAGTCCTGGTGTGGATTCCCAACAGGTCTATGAGGAGTCCTGATCTGAAGTCCTGGACCTGAAGGGACCCTGATACGCTAGTCTACTTCAGATTCAAGTAGCATGCGATCTGGTTTCATTCAGAAACCAGCAGCATGGGAACAACAACAACAACATGATCCAGGACATCGTGCAGAACCAGATCTTTACAAACCACAACAGTCCAGATACGTTTTCAGCTGAATACATAAGGAGATCCAGCCGTCACCTGTGCGACCAGGGTCACCTGTGCAGGTACAACACGGAACAGAAGCATCATTTCTATCAGCCAAACACGAGGGCGATGTGGGATTTATAAGAGCCACAGTGTTTGCTGATAGTCACACAAGAGGACCAGAACCTGCTGAACCAGATCCACCAGACACCAATAACAACAACCACACACCAATAACAACAACCACACCACAGCAGGAAACGAGTCTCTGAGTCTGAGTCTTGGCCACGCCCCAATGATGCAAGCAGTCCAGTTTGAGTGACACCTCCAGAACCACAAAGTGACATCACAACAACAACTGTGTGATCGTTTATTCTCACACCTTCAACTCACGCGACATTTAACGCTGTGAATCACACTTACAGGTGATCGCAGCTGTCAGCCCCGGGACAATTTACTCATATATAAACTAGTGCTGGGCAAGTTAATGCGTTATTATCGCGTTAACGCATTCATTAATTAACGCCGACAATTATTTTATCGCGTGTTAATGCAGTTTTTTTATTTATTCATTATTAAGCAACATTTTTAACACAAGAACCAGGCAGCAAGCAGTGAACAGCTGTGTTCGTGTGGCGTCACTTCCTTCTCCCCCCCGGGTGTGTTTGTGCACTTTATTTTAATATGTTTCTATTTGTGTTGATTGTTTAATTAATGTTACGCATCATCCACTGAGTCAACGTCCTAATCAACACACCAGTGGAACAGCCTGCCTGAAGTTGTGAGGAGCTGCAACACTATTAGCACTTTTAAAGCCAACTTGAAAAGTCTTTTAAAAACTGCACAACACTGCACACACTGACCTCAACTCTTGTGGTCTTTTATGACTTGATTTTATTGACACACACTAATTCTTGATGAGCTATTTGTGTGTAGCGTTGTATTGGGTGTCTTGTATGTTTTTTATGGTATATCTCTGTATTATGTCTTTTCCTTCTACTGTGTTGTCTTGTCCTTGTTGACCTGCCTAGAATCTGGTACAGTGCATTGAATGGAGACATTTATGTTTAAACTGTACATGGTCCCTTTAAATAAATTAAATAAATAATAATATGTGAAACACTGATTAATAAACGCTTAAAACGATTTAACATACATACATGTCTGTCTGTCTCTATCTCCCTCCATGTCTGTCTCTCTCTCTCTCCCCCCCCCCCTCTCTCTCCCTCTCTCTCCCTCTCTGGCCCTCTCTCTCCCTGTCAGTTTAAATTTTTTAAAACATTTTAATTTCTGGAGTTTTGTTTTCTCTCCTGCAGATAATAATAATAATATAAATATAGATGCACTCTTGCTTTTAAAACAGGTTTTGGGTTTTGAGGCTTTTCCTGTCCGTTAAACTTTAGTGACGACACGTTTGATCGCGTGAGAGACTAAACTTTAATGCAACACACTAACATTAGCCTAACATGCTAACGGAGCTAGCTGTGGCCTTCTTTAACTCCTCTGGGACTAAAAACAGAAGAATCTCCGCCTTTAAAACACACAATATTAATAATAATAATAATAATAAACCTCCCTGTTTGTGCAGCAGCTAATGAAGGTAGCTACATATGAGAGCTAGCACAGTTTGTGTGTTGTGATCCATTCATTTAGCTTAGCTTAGCGTTAGCTATGATGCTAACGTGAACCTGCGGTTCCTCCTCTGAGACTGCGCAGTTCAGCTCACCTGTGCTTTTATTGAACAGGTACGGTTCTAATGTTTAAACCCGGTCCAAACGGACCACATTAGAAGCACCACTTCGGAACCCTTCCGCCGGTCCCCCCACCTAAAGCCTCCCCCGGCCTCTCCCCATTTTCTTCTTACCGATCTCTGGAGCTCTCCGAGCCACACGGAGGCTCGCTCCTTCCCGGCCGGGTCCGGGTCGTGGTACAGAGCTTGGACCGCCTGGTAGACCAGGGCCAGGTTCGGTTTGCCCCCCTCCATAGAGCTCACGTCAGAAGCAAGGGATGTGAGATAAGGCAGGAAGGTTTTTAAACCAACAACGCGGCGGATATCTCTGATGAGAGTCCTACACGGTCTGTGTGTCGACCGCCATCTCGCACTGGCTTCCCGCGTGCAACCACGATCATCTCCCGGGCAGGAAAAACAGGCAGAAACATTAGTTCCGCTCTGTCATAATGTGGAGCACTTCACACAGAACTCCATTCAAAAGAAAATAAACGTTTATCTGTTGCTTCACATGAAGAAGTTATTATTACCATTATTAATAAACACATTTAAAGAGGACAGAACAGGGTTTGTATATGAAGGGATGAAGACCAGAACAGCCTCCAAGACCAGATGAAGACCATAACAGCCTCCAGGACAATGTGGTCCAGACAAAGATCCAGAGACCAGATCCAGAGTCCAGGTCTTCAGTAAAGCTCAGTTTTTGCTGTTTGTAATAATTCATCCCTCACGATTGACTCTTTAAGATAGTTGTTAATAGAAGACTGAATACATTATTATTGTTGTTGTAGTTTTTAATATTATTATTGTTGTTATTTTTACTATTTAAAAAATATATATTATTATTATTATTGTTTTTATTAAATTATTAGTGTTGTTGTTTTTAATATTATTAATATTATTGTTGTTGGTTTTAATATTGTTATTATTATTGTTGTTTTTAAATATTATTATTAGTAGTATTAATATCATGATTATTATTGTTTTAATATTATTACTGTTGTTATTTTTATTATTGTTTTTGTTTTTAATATTATTAATGTTTTGTTATTGTTAAAACATGAAAACATGGTTTATCGTGGAAATGTAATTTTGACTCAACGAACTTATTGTCTTTCGACCACATGGTCTTCATCAGGTGCTAATGAAAGCTCCCTGAGGAACAAAGCCAGTAAGAGGACCTTTGAGTCGAAACTACTCAGCTCTCTCATACAGCGTTTGCCAACCTGAGGGTTGAGGCCCCTCAAAGGGTTCAGAGAGAGATCTGAGGGGGCGACCTCAGACATTTCTGTAAATAAGATTTTTTTATGACTCATATCTATTTTTTCCTCCATTCTGTGTCATCACGTCAGATACATATGAATACTAAGTGATACGTCGTATTTATATCTTTATGAAAATGAGACTATTTTATTCATTGAACCTTTAGCTGCCAGATTAAATACAATGAATAACTTAATTAATGTCAACGAGATACTTCTGCATTAATAAGGAACAGGTGGAGCCGGTGACCGCTTGTTTAATTAAGTTTATTCATATCGAACATCACATGTCCAAACTGCAAAAAATGTAGCGAAGCTCTGGAGATATAGTTAAGAGTATTAAATCAGTAAACAGAATGCATTAAATCATATTTTTAACTCCTGAATAAAACCCTAAAATGTGTTGTTGCATTTTAATAATCATAATCATATGAATAATCTCTGCAGTGTCGATGTGTCCACATAACAAAATAAAACTGCAAACAAAGAGTAAATCAAAGAAGTTTATTGTGTTTTTATGTTCTTTATATGTCATTTATTTGTCATATATGTCTGTTTTTTTCTACCTGTAACTCAACCTAAACCTATGGAAGCCAATTTCCATCACTGTGTTAGAAAAATAAAGATCTTGTAAATCATTATAACAACTTACTATCTCATTATAATGACTTACTATCTCATTATAATGACTTAATATCTCATTATAATGACTTAGTATCT